CCTCTCTACCCCATCTGCTGTTGTTCAATTCTCTCCCTTGTTTTCCCCCCTTTCCCCTCACAACCTCTTCTATGTAATTTTGTGTAACATTGAGGCTCTCCTACCTTTTCCATATGCTTTCCCTTCTCTCTCCCCTTCTCTCCCCCCACTCATCTTTGTTTAATGTTAATCTTTTCCTCATGCTCTTCCTCCCTGCTCTGTTCTTAGTGGCTCTCTTTATATCAAAGAAGACATTTGGCATTTGTTTTTAAGGATTGGCTAGCTTTGCTTAGCATAATCTGCTCTAATGCCATGCATTTCCCTGCAAATTCTATGATTTTGTCATTTTTTAGTGCTGCATAGTACTCCATTATGTATAGATGCCACATTTTTTTTTATCCATTCATCTATTGAAGGGCATCTAGGTTGGTTCCACAGTCTAGCTATTGTGAATTGTGCTGCTATGATCATTGATGTGGCAGTATCCCTATAGTACGCTCTTTTAAGATCCTCAGGGAATAGTCCGAGGAGGGCGATAGCTGGGTCAAATGGTGGATCCATTCCCAGCTTTCCCAGATATCTCCATACTGCTTTCCAAATTGGCCGCACCAATTTGGAGTCCCACCAGCAGTGTACAAGTGTACCCTTTTCCCCACATCCTCGTCAGCACTTATTGTAACTATTAACAACCCACTTTGTGTGGCATCTACCAGTCTGATTCACACCTTGGAATTATACTTTTTGTAGATGATGCTTCTAAGTCTAACCTCTTTTGCCAATGAAGAAAAAAACACAAAATCTTTCCCTGGCCTTCAACTGGAACAAAGTCTCAATACGTTAAATTTGCTATATCAGAAAAATCATTGTGGCTGTAAGACGTAGACACTATTTGATGCTATGCATGTGCGCTTGGTATGTACAAATTCTAGCTCTTTAAAATATTTTTATCAATCGTGGTAAAATATGCATAATATTGGCCAGACACGCATTTCAGTCCAACATTTCCAATCTCAACAAGATGAATAAGAGTACCAGGGATTGAACTAACTCAAGACTCATAACCACTGAGCCACATCCTCAGCCCTATTTTATTTAGAGACAGGGTATCACTTAGTGCCTTGCATTTGGGGTCCCCTGAGCTGTTTCAGGAGCAGTACCTGATGTGGGCTAAGAGCCTAAGACCTGCCGGATTGCTTTCTGTGCACGGAGCAGTTGATGGCAGGCTTGCCTGGCAGGGTGTGGCTCTCCTTCTGTGTCTGAGTGGCATCTCCATGCTTTACCTTCTTCTGCAAAGTGCTGGTATTTTTAGTGATCTTTTTCACCACTGTGACCAAAAGATCTGACAAGAAAAATTAGAGGAGGAAAAGTTGATTTGGGGCTCAGAGGTTCAGTCCCTGGTGGCCGACTCCATGGCTCTGGCCCAAGGGGAGCAGAACAAGATGGCGGCAGGGCCTGGAGGAGGAGAGCAGCTCAGGACAGGGCACCAGGGAGCAGAGAGAGCTCTGCCCACCAGGGACAGGACAGAGACCCCAAAGGCACAGACCAGGGACCCCCTCCTCCAGCCACACCCCACCTGCTGCAGTCACCACCCAGTGAGTCCATCCAAGTGGATTAATCCACTATTAGTCTACACCAGGGAGCAGAGAGAGCTCTGCTCACCAGGGACAGGACAGAGACTCCAAAGGCACAGCCCAGGGACCCCCTCCTCCAGCCACACCCCACCTGCTGCAGTCACCATTCAGTCAATTCAAGTGGATTAATCCACTATTAGTC